GTAGACATGCAAGAAAACAAACTTGAATTCCCTATGAATGTATGCAATCGTCCTCCCCTTCCAAAGTTCATTAGAACTTGCATTATCATTAACAACAATTCATATCAGTCATTCCTATCCAAACTATAGTTTGACAAGTGTAAAACAAGAGAATGAAAAAACTTATACAATCATACCTTAAATTAAGCAACATCATGTTCACCTGCAAAAAGCTTGCCTAAAGATAACTTCATAACTGGTAGATTATTGCTTTGTAAGCCTCCCAAAGAGTCAAAAACTTTAAAATAGTCACATAATAACAAAGATACACATAATAAAAATCAAAACACAGACACATAAGGAGGCACATACACAAACACTTCGATAACATAAAAAAAAATAGAGTAATAACCACACACACAAACACGTTATACACATCAAAACACAAAAACACTCGAGATAAGAAAGATATCATACACGCCAACAACCACACGCAATAAACATAAAAACTTATACACCAAAAATAACTGATAAAAATAAATACACATTGTGCACATAAAAACGCACACAATAACACATTGATTAAAAGAATACACTTACACTAATGAAAACACACCTTCCTCTTAATACAAACACTAATACACCAAAAAAATACACACTAACACACCAAAGATGCACACACACGTACATACACTATTACACAAATACACGCATATTCGCACACCGCCACTGAATCAAACACACATAAACAAACTAATAAATACACACCCACGCACGTTGTGTTAACAAACACTTATACACCAAAATATACACATAATACATCAAAAAACATAGACACCAACATACCAAAACACACTATTACACAAACACAAACACAACATACACCCACACACTAATACACCATCTAAAATCACAAAAATGCATACATTCCATCCAAAGTAATGTTAACACAAGCTAATCCACCAAAAACATAGACACTATTATACAATAAACACACGTTATTACACGAACGCAAATGCACACAGACACTAATACACTAAAAAACACACATTAATAAAAAAATTCATTAATATACAAAAAAATATATCATAAAACTATGAAAAGTACCGGGGAACATTAAGAATAACATATCATAAAATAATAAAATTAATGTTTTCCGGGATTTTTCATAGTTTTATGATATTTTTTTTGGTATAAGGAAAAGAGTCAGACAAAAGGGCTGATCCGGAACCAAAAGCAAAGGTTGACGCAATAGATCAAAAACAGGGGGTAGTATAAGAAGATCAAAAAGAAAGAAGGTTGCAGGGATGCCGCAAAAGAAAAGGAAAATCCACAATCAGTTGCTGAACTGAGCCTTTTTCCTTTNGGTAGTATAAGAAGATCAAAAAGAAAGAAGGTTGCAGGGATGCCACAAAAGAAAAGGAAAATCCACAATCAGTTGCTAAACTGAGCCTTTTTCCTCTCTCAAAAGAAGCCAAAGCAGCAAAAGAGAATCCTTCTCCGTTTCACCTAAACCAAAACACACACACAACCCAGCTAATCAGCATATGTATGCACACCCACACACCATGTTAATACACACTAATATACCCTCAAAAAAAACCCAAAACATATGCTCCGTCCACACACACTAATACACCAAAGAAACACACTCATACACTAATACACCTAAGAAACATAGACACACTTATATTTTGCCTAACGGTGCCAAGGCTTGTGGGCACAAGGCTAGCCAGACCCTTGGTGCCCCTCAACTAACTCCTCCCCTTATATATGTTTTATGGAGGTTTTTCCAAACGACTTTAGCGGACATCTTTTGAACTGAAGAAACATAACAACAAGAGCCTAGGACATGGCGTCTGGACTTTTGTCGAACGCCTTAGCTACAACGCGTTACTTTGAATTTATGAGGTGTCCTGATGCAAGATGCCAACAAGACATGTTCATTTTTGCATCCTAGTCAATTAGGGTCTGAAAACTAGTGTGTTCTTTTTTCACAACTTACAAATTTAAAGATCATCTAAAATACGATAATTACTACCAGTGAAAACTTTCAAACAACTACCACAATTGTTAAGAAAACACATTATTAATATTTAAAAATGAAAAATAGAACATCTACTCAAAGATATTCAAAGGGAATAAAAATGTAAACATGCAAGGAGCCGACCTGTATGCTCTTCAAAAGTATGTGCAGAGTTGTGTCACTTAAACCTGGATTACCATAAACAAAACCGCCATTGTTCATTTGTATCCAAAGCAATATGGTGTAGGATCTTCAAGTTTTAACATCAGTGCCTTTGTAGTTCGATAACTGCAAGAAATCTTAAGCAAAGGATGAAGATCGAGAATGATAATTAAAAACTTCACGATAAGAGAAAAGAAAACGCTAAAAAAAATCATACCGCAAAATAAATACTACACAATGCCCAAAGAAAAACCAACCTCTTGGATTGCCGCTTTATGAGCCTCCCAAATTTTAATAGGTTGGCTTTTCCTCCCTCTTTAAGGTACTGCATTCAATAAGCAATATTACACATTGAATCATAGCACAAAAATTAAGAAATAAAATACTATAAGCAAGTAATTGACAAAAAAATTCAAGTAATTGTCACATTGAGTTATGGCACAAAAAATGTAAGACATAAAATACTGTAAAGAAGTAATTGGCAGCAGAATAGTTTTATGCCTTGAATAATGACTAGTAGAAAAACTAAAGCACAAACATGTAGACAAAAGAGACTCATAAAATAACACTTTCAGATTGAAGATCAATTGCACCCATGCTCCCCACACTATTCAGATTATGGGAAACTGACTTACCATATATAGAGTTTTTTGTATTGGAGGTGCTAACCCAAAGAGAGTGACATAGAACCACAAATTGCGAAATAGCTTCAAAAGTGCAGGTTCCACATATACAGTAGGATCAAAATCTGAACATATTTCAGCCACAGCAAGAAGTAGAGGTCCTAGAAAATCTGCCCCAAGTCTCTGCCTGTTTGAAAAAATATATATATTACAATGAAAGTTTATCCAAAAAGTGCAACATATTGCAGAATCATGTTACCAAGATACGCCCCAGCTGTAGGAGATAGCCCGAAGCAAACAAATAATGTACCCGAGCACAGTACTTATCACCAGGGGTTTGAAGCGAATGAGCAAGACATGCAGCAGCTGACCACATCGAGTGAGAGCAATTTAGGAAATCCCAACAAGCAATGAGCTGAAGAGCTCATCACAAATTCTCAACTTTTGCCAGACACAGAATAAACATGCTTCAGCAGCTTCTATCAACAATGCCAAAGTTCCATGCAACAACCTCTTTGATGACTTCCCATTCAAATCAACAGATGAAAGACTCTTGATTTGTAACCCCGCTGCAGCTTGGTAAACCGACAGCTCTGTATTGATTCTAACTTTCAGTAACTGCCCCTGTTCCGTCCAGTCACGCTTCCATATCTGCCAACAAACCCAAACATTTTAACCAGATTTTTTCATTCATCTCTATAGTTATTTCATCAAGACATCAATAAAATTCGAAACCAAAAGGATGGATACCCATGAATTTTACCTTTAGGAAAGCCAACATTGATTGGAGTTGCTCCTTTGCGAATTGCGATGGCCCTCATTTGTTACAAAAGCTTAAGATCATTCTGGACTTTATCCAATATGTGCCCAATCAGCTTGAAAGCAATCTCCTGTTGTTGAAGGCTCTCCACAGGCTCTTCCTCAAAAGAGGCTACCACTCGCTTGTACGTTGCGGAACCGCCTCGTCCTTCATCATTGAACCCAACATCAGCCCCAAATATATCCACATTGCTCTTCCACGCAAGGCTGCCCCCTTTCATCACCAATCCTTTCGGCCACAATGCACTGGTCGCCTCATCTGTAACCCTTGAAGGGTCACCGCTAGAAGAACCAGAGGCATTGCTGACCTCATTCCTGGACTGTTTCTCTCATTTGATTGATAATGGTTTGCACTGAGTGGCGAACACTGAGGCGATGACGCTTCAGGTGTTATCGAAACTAGCTCCCTCGGTGAACTAGGAACCGAAATTTCAAATCGATCTAGAAGAGTGGACACTAATCTGTTTGCATTAGAAAGAAGAATTGGATGAAAATTCTGCGACAGAGAAACCCCCAAATCTCCACCGGCATTGTTAATCGCCGACATCACAATCTCTCCCGTATACTCCGCAACGGCCATGGCAAAATCCGAGGACAACTCACTGGCTTCATTCACATAACTCAGGAAATCAAAAGATTGAATCGCTTCCAAACGACTGTGGCAAAAAAGATTGGGCAATAGAATACGGAATCGACCCAAAAAAGACGATGACGCTTCAGGAGTTGTCGAAACTAGCTCCTCGGTGAACTAGGAACCGAAATTTCAAATCCATCTAGAACAGTGGACACTAATTTGTTTGCATCGGAAGGAAGAATTGGAGGAAAATTCTGCGACAGAGCATTCAAGAAAACCTTGAAACCCCCAAATCTCCACTGACATTGTTAATCGCCGACATCACAATCTCTCCCGTATACTCCGCAACGGCCATGGCAAAATCCGAGGACAACTCACTGGCTTCATTCACATAACTCAGGAAATCAAAAGATTGAATCGCTTCCAAACGACTGTGGCAAAAAAGATTGGGCAATAGAATACGGAATCGACCCAAAAAAGACGATGACGCTTCAGGAGTGGTCGAAACTAGCTCCTCGGTGAACTAGGAACCGAAATTTCAAATCCATCTAGAACAGTGGACACTAATTTGTTTGCATCGGAAGGAAGAATTGGAGGAAAATTCTGCGACAGAACATTCAAGAAAACCTTGAAACCCCCAAATCTCCACTGACATTGTTAACCGCCGACATCACAATCTCTCCCGTATACTCCTCAACGGCCAATGGCAAAATCCGAGGACAACTCACTGGCTTTATTCATGTAAATCAAGAAATCGTACGAAGCAATTGAATCGCTTACAAACGACTGTCGCCAAAAAGATTGGGCAAAAGAATACGGAATCGACCTAAAAAACCCTAGGACTGCCGGTTAGGGCCTCATGTCGTCGAAATTGGGGCATTTAGGAAGAAATCTAGCGGTGGCGAGTACAGAGTCAATTGGTGGACATAGTCCACAAATCCAAGCCAATTTATCAGCAAATTGCGAAGGATTGTGTGCGATCAGATCGCAGAGTTCGATCATCGACTCCATTGCTTTACAATGCTCAATATTTTAGGAGAGAGGAGAGAGAAATCATCTGGTGGTGGAATTTAGGGTTTACGGAGATAGATTGTAGGTGGAGGTTCGTAAATTGGGACTCAGGAGGTCGATGTCGTCTGCTGAGTTTCTGATTATATATATATATGTTGTTGGTTGCGTCTCTCTGACGAGATCATTGGTTTTAAATCTCTGATTTTGTTTCCTTTTTCTTTTTTATTACCGTTGCCCCAAATTTGGAAACCAAGCTATACTTTCTTTACCTCCAAGTTTTCTCAATTGACCGTTTGATTCAATTTTTGTTACTTGAAATCAATGAATTAGGTCACTAATTGAGTCTCTAAATTAGATATTTATATTATTATTATTTATTTTTTATTAATAGATTTTTAAAATGTTTTTATCTATTTAATGATGCAAGAGTTTTCGGAGAGTTTCTATAATTATGATTAATTGTTTGGTGAAATAAATTTTTAATTAAACAGTTGTAATTATTTAAATTCTAAAATTAGGTTTAAATAGTATTTTTTCTTCTTTTGGGTCTCTATGCTTTGAATCGAGCACCGATTTAATGTTTTACTATTCTCAAATATGTTTAATACAAATTTGGGATAATTTCTTTTAATGAGTTTTATTTATTTTTAATAATTGATTTGGTATAAATAGTTTTTAAACCACCAAAAAAAAAATTGTAGTTAGAAAGGTCGTGAGTTTTTTATTAAATTCATTCTTCTCGAAATGTTAATCTAAATCTAGTCATTTTCAAACTTATTTTTCAAACTCATTTATTTTTTGAAAACGTTGCTTTTAATAATGAGATGCAAAATGAGTTTAAACACTCACCTTTCTTCTTCCACTTTTCTTTTCTACAACCACCCCATTATATCTAGCCATCCCTGGATGCCTTTTCATATCTCTTTCATTTACCTTAGTTCACTGTCAATATCTACCAGCAACCACCTATACTTTTTTTTTCTTTCTTTTCATCTTTTCCAACCAGTCGTCGCCTATTACCACCTCTATTTTGATTTTTCAAATGAAGTGAGTTGGACTCAAATCGGTCTTAGATTTTTATGTTTTGATTTTATGTGAATTAGTGTTGGGTAGTGGCCAGTGTTGGTGATGGCAATGTGTTGTTGGTGATGGGTGATTTTGGGTTTTGGGATGTTTGGTGGTTGTTGGTGAGAAATAGAAGAAAGATTAAAGAGTGGTAATGGAGTAAGGGCGATGGAGGCGCAGTTACAATGTCGAGAGGTCTTTGGCAGTGGCACCAACGGTGGTGTTCCGATTTTGATTTCATTTTGATGTCAAAATTTAAATTGAAATTTTGTCTTCAAATTTTGATTCACAACAGCATCGCACTCATGCCACAACATTGAACTGGTGCAGACTTGCTGAAGAAAAAGATAGAGTAAAAATGGTTGAGTGCGTTGCTTTTGTATACCGACAAATGGACACCCCTACAACTATCTCTTCAAAACCCAAGCTTGCATTTTATGAGGATTCCAAGAAGCCAACTATCTAAATTGCAACACGGCAGCACTAAAATGACATTATTCAGTCACTTATCTACCACACAGTGTACGCAAAAAAAAAAACACTCTCTTGGAGGCTTGAAACGATAGTAGCTCCTGTCATTCAATTGAAGAACATATGCTGAAAAAGGTTGGTATTTTCCATGCAACATATTATTCTGCGAGTAATACCTGGTCATGATATGCATACGGTTGCTTGATAAACAATTATAGTAATTGTTCAAGTTTATTATCTCATTAGATTTATTATTTTTCAGAAGTTCGTTAAGAGGGAAAATGGCTGGATTGGAATGAAGGGCATTTATCTTTTTGAAGTGTATCATTGGAGCCAGAAATATTTTCTATTCTTGTGGGTTGGAAGGCATTTACATTCCAGGAAGAAGGTGGAGGAAGAAAATTGAAATCATTAAACGTGTGGAAATCAATTCTTTTTATGCCGACTGTAACACAGATGACCTTATTTGTGCCCAAATAAAGGTGTAGGTGTCATGTGTTGATTAGACATTCTGAATTTAAATCTTGACAATCATATTCAGGCCAGACCACAAAGAATTTATCGCTCATGAATACTCTAATCCCAGCGTAGATGACTTACCTATCACCAAGGAAGATAGTTGAGATGCGTGAAAGTTGGACCGAACACTCTGACCATTTGAACAAAACTAATAAAGCTTTATATTGACGCTAGAAGTGACCACAGTTTTCCAAAGATAACCCTTAGGTAGGTCCTCTGATGAGCCCAAATCTAACTGAGGCAGGCCCAATAAATCAAGTTAACCCAAATAAGCTAAAAGACAGATCGAGCTTAGTTCGTGAATTCAACCCAACCCAAGGTCCGAAGAGTCCAAGAAGAATTAGAGTACATAGAAAGAAATCATCGGGATACACACCCTCGAGGATCAAGGCTACTTTAATTGCACTTACCTTTTGTAGCAATCCTCTCCGAAGACCTAGTACCTTCACCCTCACGTTACTGTCTCAACCAAGTTTCTGTGCCTATAAATTGTAAGTCCTCTCTACATGAGAGGACACAATGATCTCACCACACCTCTCTACACACTTTCTCTCTCCTAGCTATTGTATCACTTCTGGAGCTAGCCTTGTCTCTCCCTCTCTCTTACTTTATTTCATCAATAAAGGTTCACCGGCCACCGTAGCCGTTTTTTGGAGTGGAATAAGTCATTCGGATCGAACCACTATATATCTGTGTGTTGACCCAATATTTATTTTTTTGCCATTGATTACTTTATTAATTGTCCATTAATTATACTTTATCACATACTCGACTGTTGATCTTACACGAGACAGTTTTGTGTAACAACAGTTTGGCACCATCTGTGGGAATCGACTAAGTTTTCTACGACCTTACTACTTCATGGTAATCACGACCAGGTCGATAAGTCAACAACCGGGAGACAACAACACGGCCCCCCAGGAGGAGGCTCCGCCTCCCTTCACACCCTCGGAACCATCTGCTATAACGACTCCTGTCGTCGGACAATAGCTTCTAAAGATTATGCAGCTACTGGTAAAGCAGAACCAACAAATCATTTAGTTGATGCTCGCCAAGGGAGGTGTGGCCCCTCAGCCCGTAAGAGGAATACCATTCCCTCCAACAGGAGAAGCATAATAACCTATCCACTCTGGGCATCAAGCAACCCCCCACCATGGGGCCCCTCACCTAGTAGTTCCTCCTCAGTGCGAAGGAAACTCGCATATTCTCCCTCCTCATGTATCTGTGCAGGAGGATGAAGGAGAAAGCTAGTATGCCGATCATGGAAGCCATTACAACAACCCGACAGAGGATGTCTCTAACCAATGGGACAAGAAACTTAGAGAGGTGCAAAACTAACTCGGTGACACCCTCAACGCCATCAAGGCAGAAGCCTCCAAAATGGTGAATTACCTGGTAAGGCACACTAATACCCCGTTTGTTACAGACATCGTCAAGTATCTCCCACCCTTGAAGTTTAAGATGCCTGCCATCGAGATTTTCGACAGTACTAAGGACCCCCTGGATCATTTTGACATCTATAAGTCTTTCATGAAACTCCACAACGTGTCTGATGAGATCATGTGTAGAGCCTTCTCCACCACCTTGAAGGGGTCTACTTGACAATGGTTCGTGAAGATCAAACCCTCTTCCATCCACTCTTTCGCGGAGCTGAGTAAATCTTTCGTCTCCCACTTCATTGGAGAACATCGACATCAGAAGCCTGTTACCCACCTGCTCACCATCAAGCAATGGGATGAAAAGCCTTAGGAGCTACTTCACTCGTTTCAACGAGAAAGCTCTCCAGATCGAGGAGCCAGACGATAAGGTAGCTCTGACCGCCTTTATTGCTGGTCTATGCTCCTTTACCTTCATGTTCTCCATCATCAAGAAGTCGCCCTCCAGCATGCCCAAGCTGCTGTCATGGGCATAAAAGTACATAAACGCCGAGGATGTCACCAAAGTCCGTCAAGGTGAGTCTTCTTGAGGAAGAAAGAAAATGAAGGACACCAGTGAAGACAAGGGGGAGACAGAGAGAAAGAGACAATGAACCGACAGAGTCTTTGTCAAAGACCATCTTGGTCCAATACCCTAAAGAGAATAGCAACCCTTCACGCCACTCAACGTCTCGGTGGAGCACATCCTGTTCAAGATACAAGATGACCCCATGCTCCATTGGCCCGAAAAAATGAAGTCTACCCCGAATCGTAAAAATCCAAGCAAGTATTGTCATTTTCATCGCGATCATGGTCACGATATTGATGACTATTATGAGCTTAAGAGGCAGATCGAAGAGCTCATACAACATGGCCAGCTGAGGTAGTACGTTACTGGTAGAGGACAAATCCCATCACCTGGGCGGGACTAGGGTGACAGAGAACGCCAGTAACCCTTTGGAGAAATCCAGACAATCTCTGGAGGGTAGGAGGAGGAGGCGACTCTAACTTTGCCAAGAAAGCCAGACAGTCAAAGACGCATGAATCTCGCCTGACAAAGACACCCCCGACAAGGGAATCCAGCTCCCTCAAGATGATCCCCTCGTCTTAACCATGATGGTAGCCAACTACCAGGTTAAGAGAATTTTGGTCGAAAACAACAGTTCAACCGATATCTTGTTCACACTAGCCTATGATAGCCTCTACCTCGGTAGGGAGAGATTGCAACCCATTAGGACACCTATTGTTGGATTCTCAGGGGAGAGGGTTTATCCCTTGGGTTCCATCACCTTGTCAGTCACTGTAGGGATAGCGCCAAAAAGCTCTACCATCATGGTAAACTTTAGTATATTGGACTGTCTCTCTACCTACAATATCATACTTGGACTCCCCGCACTCAACACCCTAAGGACAGTGCCGTCTGCCTATCACATTGTTCTTCATTTCCCAACCCTCTGTGGGATCAGAGAAGTCAGAGGAAACCAAGTTGCTGCCAAAGAATGCTACGTGGCCTCGATGAGAATTAAGAACCCCAAAAGGCCTTCTAGGTGGAAGTGCTTGGTATAACAGCACACTAAAAATGGGAGAGCCTAGGCCCACTTATGGGACACCGAACACCTGAAGATTTTATCTATCATTTATTGTTTTAGTTGATTTATTTTGTTATTTATTATTTTATGAAATAAAATTTTGCAAAGATTATTGTGTTTATGACTGTCTTGTTTTCATTTCACAAAGTTTGTTAATAGCTTACAAAAGTCAGAACATGACCTAACAACAAATTAGGCAAAAAGTCAACAATTGTCGTACTCCCAACGATCAGGACAACAATCATCATACTTCTGACGACCAGTCACTGCTCCCCGAGCCACAACCATTATCATTAAGACTCTCCCCATCACCAATTATTGCTAGTGCCTCATAGGGGACAAAACCAAAGAAATCAATAGCAGGGAAAGCTCTCAACCCCTTCATAACCCATCAGTAAAGGCGTTTGCAGTGGCCCTTTTATCAGCCTCCCTTCTCATCTCTATCTCAATGGAATGATCCTCTGCCACGACAACCCTCTCCCAAGTTATACATAGCTCGGACTTAGCTCTGGTGGCCCTCTCATGGGGTGCTCGCAGCTTTGACTATGTTCTTGTATAGACAGTCACCTTATTAATCTCTAGCTTCGCGCTCTCTCGCAAGTCGTCAAAAAGCTCGGCCTAATCCTATTTCTGCTCTCAAGCAGTTTATATATTCAGCTTCGCACTCTCTCACGAGTCGCCAAGAAGCTTGACCTAATCCTAACTCTTCTAAGCAGCCTATGTATCCAGCTTCATACTCTCTCGCAAGTCGTCAAGAAGTTCGGCCTGAATCTACCTCTACTCCCAAGCAGTCTATGTATCCAGTTTCGCACTCTTTCGCTAGACGCCAAAAGCTCAGCCTCGAGAGGTGTTACTCTCTCATGAGCCAACCTTAACTACTCTCAGCAACTCCCTATGCCTACCTCTCTGTTACTAGATGCTTGAATGTCTTTCCAAGCTTGATCATCCTTGAAAAAGGTAGGGAAAAGTTGCAGCCTCCTACAAGCATTCAAAAAGCAGAACATGTAGGAAAGGAGGTGAGTACAAAATCAAAGTTGAGAAGAGAGGCATACCTTAGACCTCGAGATCTCTCTGATATCCCCGGGTGTCACAGACCTCCAAAGTCGATCCTTGACCAAAGTCAAGTCAAAGCATGGACACCGAGCCACTACTAAAAGCAGAACAACTATATGGAGCTACAATCCCCGTAGAAGATCGCACTGAAGTCTCAACTATTACAATGGTACAAGGGCTAGCTCTGGTACACACAGGAGTCACAATCTGAGAAGGAGTGGGAGCAACACCGGGTCCTATCTCTTGGGAAGCAACCTTGACTGAGAAATACTGGAGGCATCAAACCTCACCCTCTTGGGAGGAGGGGCAGACACCACCCTAAAAGTATAGAAAACCTCCACCATCGCCCTATCAACAGGGCACCTGTAATTAGAGACAAGGTCAGTATAATAAACCAACATCGAGAAAACATTAAAAAAAAAAAAACAAGATTGGAGAAAGCGGGTTTGCCTCTTACCCAGTCGAAAGCCATCATAGTATCTCTACCTGGTAAAAATCCAAAATGTCAATCTGTTGCCCATGAATGCCTGACAGTCGTCTGCCAGAACGTAACTTTTCACCACTGTCGGTTTCACTAATTTATGCTTAATACTCAAATTCAGAGAGATAGAAGCATTTTTTGAGAAACTTTTTTGACCAAATTGCCTTTGGCAATTATCATGTCATAGATCTCGAAAAAATACATAGATTCAACAAAAAATTCACCTCAAATGGATAATCGAGCGCAAAGTTACAGTCATGCAAAGTTTTGCCCTTTTTCATAGTTTTCTAATACTCCGGCCAACGCCCAGCGCTTGCAAGGCGTCACATAACCTAACACTGCTCCTGGCATTACCCAGCAGCCTCCTGGGCGCCGCCCTAGCTCGCTCTTGTCCCACCTCACTCTAGCAGCTGCCCAGCACCTCAGGTGTCACCCAGCTACTTAGGGGCGTCGTCCAATCCACTGTCGCCAATGTCCCTGCGCTTGCAAGGCGTCGCCAAAAGACCCTTCTACACCATAAGCGTCGCTTGCTAACCTTTTTTGTCGTCGCCTGTGATTGGTGTCGCTCTACCCAGCGCCTAGTCGGCATCACCACCTCCCACGTGCTGTTCACCTCCTTTGCCGAAGTAGCCTCCAAACATGCCATGGGTGCCGCCAACCTCTCCACCCCCATGGGCGTTGCCTAGGGCACGCTAGGCGTCGCCTTCATTTCCTCCTCTGGCATTGCCATAAGGATCCTTGAGCGTCGCCCTTGGCTTCACCATGGCGTCGCCTCAGGCTTCACTTGGATTTGTCGAGGTGTTGCCCAAGGCTTCACCGAATTAGCCTAAACACCTGATTCTGTCTACGATCCCCTTAACTGCCTTACTCGTCGACAGTGATCTCACCACACTTCTCTACACACTTTCTCTCTGCTAGTTATTGTGCCACTCTTGGAACTAGCCTTGTCTCTCCCTCTCTCTTACTTTATTCCATCAATAAAGGTTCACCGGCTACCGTAGCCGTTTCTCGAAGTGGAGTAGGTTATCCGGATCGAACTACTATATATCTCAACTCCAAGTAATAAGAGACGAAAAGGCTTTCAAATGTGTATCAAGCATATGAAACCATGGCAAGAACATTTAACGTGGAGAAAGAAGCCGGTGAAGAATTTGCGGCAATAAGAAATATGCCTGTGTTTCAAATAAGAGTGGTAATTTCTAACACAACCATGAAAACATGACTTGAAATCGACATGAAATTAGTAAGGTTAGGATTGATCATTTCGCAATACGAACCCACATATGACACAACTCGTTCACGCGAATAATAAATGGGTTTGAATAATATCAAATACGAACAACACGAAACTGACACGATTAACATGTTTAAGTATTATTATAATAATAAAATACATTTTTTATTATATTTTATCAAGTAGTGAACTAATTTTTATGCAAAAAAAAGATATGTTTATTGATTTTTAATATTATATTTATTAAGTTAATTTTTAATTTATTAAAAAAATATAAGCATAGGTACAATTAAATTATAATGAAATTTAAGATATAAAACTAAGCATTAAATTTTTTATTCACAAGTTATACGGATAAAAACGAACACGATTGTCATCCTAGTTTCAAAATGTGTGGCATCGTGTCTGATATGTTGGTCCAATATCAGACAGGATGCTGCAACTTATTTTTTTACTTGGTTTCACNATTGTCATCCTAGTTTCAAAATGTGTGGCATCCTATCTGATATGTTGGTCCAATATCAGATAGGATGCTACAACTTATTTTTTTACATGGTTTCACCAAGAGCAAACATTCTTTCTAGAGGAAAGAGTGGCATCTTCACTTTCCAATTTGAGTTATGTTTACATAGTTCAATTTCTCATGCTATGTATGATGTTTCAGTGAAGGAATAGTCATGTGGATGTCCAATTAAGCGTAAGTCAGAATTGTAGCAAATTGTGCGCACCGAAGTGAATAGGCATATGAGAAACATGTTTGGTAATGCTTTTGATTAATTCCAGCATTATTTTCTGATTTATCCCCCTTGAACTTCTCATTACATTGATAGCTGTTGGAGACAAACAAATGTCTAGCTCCCCATGTCTCTGTGTCGAAGTGGTTTGTCACCAGACCCACCTCGACCCACCTCTACGGTAGGATTTTAATAAATAATGTAGTTCTTGTTGTATAGAAACACAATTACCACGATCAAAGTTGTCCTATGCATTCCATGCTCTTGTATCTTACAACCCCAAATTGGGCATATTCACATCAGATCATCCAAAAAATGTTACCCCAAATTATAATATTTTTGTAACTGATCTTCATGAATACACACAGAATTTAGCAAAAAAGGGGGAGAGAGAATATTACATAAGCAGTCATAAGTACATATCAAAAAGAGAGAATTTTCCAAAGCATGTTTGCATTATACTGAAATTATAGTAGTTCAAAAGAAACAACAAAGATATTTTCAGCTTTTATCCTCTTCAGCTTCCATATCCAGAATTTGCTTCCTAAGTTTCGCCATTCCCTCGTACACATCTAGCAGATCTGTTGACTTGTCCATCAGCACACTTCTCAGTATGTTTATCTCAGTTTTGAGTTTACCTAAAGCTGTTAATGTGCAAGCATTAACTTGCTTTTCAGCTTCCTTACGTAACGCAAGCTCCACAGAATCCTTGTTTCAGGTTTTGAGCCAGTCGAGTCCCTTCAAAATTCTCTCCTTAGAAGCAAGGGAAGAATGCCCAGGCAAAAATTCTGGCAGGAGTTGTGCCCCAGCATATCCATGTCCAAAGAGTGCGAGGGCGACAACAATTGCTCGCACAGAAAATTTTCTCCTCACTGGGATTTCCACCATGCTCTTCACCAAGTCCTTGGTTTGGCTTGGAGTAAGAGCAGCCCTTTTAGCAACTATATTTTGCCACATACCCAGAATGGTTCTGCAAAGAAAACAATACATTTTACTTCAAAACATAACAAGTAAACTTTTCGCAAGTAAAAATGATATGCAGTATTTTTTCCCGGTAAGTAACATGATTTCTATTAACTGAATCTCTATATTCTATTTAAATGTAGTAGTGTTGAGAAGTCTCCAACCTTTCATTCCAAATTTTTGAATTTTTGAGTTTTTTAGCCATGAAAATGCTTACTTGGCTTCTTATGATTGGTCCTTCCACCCTTTTTTACGTCATTTAATCGTTTTTTCTCAAGATAAGGACAAGTCTATATTTAAACTAACTGATAACTCCCACTTCTCATGTAACCTCCAGGTTTCCGACTGTTCAACTTTCCACTCATTCACGTCTCTCTCTCCATATTCACATATCTCCAAGCTTTCTGACTATTCATGCATGGTATATTATATAGCAGGGAAGAGAGACAAACCAGAATGGAACCCTACTGTGTGTGACGTGCATTGCTACAACATTATAGCAATGTTGCTCCCATCTGTTCGTTGAGGGTAAGTTCTGATACATTCATGCACATGGTGAATTTGAGGGTAATGGTTGCATGGGGTAGGCTATGTTTGATATGTTGCCCACCCCCCGAGGAAGGGGGAGGCAGTAGGCTGACGTGGTTTGGCTGAGGGGCTGGACTGTTGTGTTTGCAACTAGAGCTGGTGGGGGCTTGGAGCAATATCGATTGTGTTATGGAAAATCTTGAGAAGTTTTGTTGTATCATCAGCAAAGCAAAAATGTAAAATCCCCTCCTCTTTATTTTTATAGAAAACACCATTTTATTAAAAGTAAAAAAATGAAGAGCAGAGATAGGTAAGTAGTCCAACCTAAATACAAATCATCGAAAAGCAGTACATAAAAAGGTAAAAAAAAAAACCAAACCAAGAAAACAAGCTAATCAATCACAAACCACCTTCCATTTCACCAAGATTTCAAAAAGTGGAATATTTGCAAATTCCTTTGAAACCAAAGCACAAAAAAGAGTTGCAAAAGAGTGAATTCGGTTCCAAACCCCATCAAACTCTTCATACTTATCTTCAAAGATTCTTGAATTTCTCCCCAACCAAATCACCCAAATTATTGCATAGAAAGCACATCCCCAAACAGTACTTCCTTTACTTCCCTTTCCAAAACCTTTATAATCCACAACCAACATTGTTGAAATTGTGAGAATCAAGAAAGAAAGAGGATGGAGATTACGATTGATCATAAGCATTTTAAAGTCAAGTTTGAAGGTTTGCATGGTGAACTTATTCGCATAACGGAATGGAATCGGTTTGGATATTTCTCATGCTTAGTGAATAGAAGTTGTGTGAGATGGTTGAAGGAGATGTTTTCTAAAGCTTTATCCAGGAATCAACAAGATATTTTCCTTAGAAAGTTTAGGAGGGATGAATATTGTATGTGGATGGAATTGGAAAATAGCAGGTTTGGGGAGTTTGCCAGGATTACACAAATGATGAATAATGGTAAAAGAAAGGGTTTGATTATTCCCCAAGGCTCCCAAGGCATTGGATGGAAAGGGTTTAGAGGATTAATGGGGGATGCTCTTTCAGGTGGAAGGAATACTCTGATACAAGAAGAAGAAAATCAAAGTCTGATGGTGGTATCAAAATGTAGAGTCAAAGAGCAAGGAAATGGGGCATGGGCTGAGATGCATAAGGAAAATACTCCTGCAAATGTTAAGGGGTATGAAAATATGCTTAAAGAAGAGGTTAAATGGAGGTGTGTTGTGGTATGTGTTAAAGCAAGTTCGTTTGTGTACTCCCAGGCATGCTTAGTACAGGCTTTAAAAATAAAGATTCATCTACAGCCTTTCCAAGTAGACAGAGACATTTTTTTTCTACGAATGTTGAAGAAAACAAGAATGTTCAGTCGAAAGGAGAAAGGAATACTACAAGGCGAAGGTAGTACGGAGATTTTGTGCATTGGGTGAAAGGTTGAAGATGAGAGTTGTTGAAACTAGCATATTGGAAAATCAATCGGCCAAAAATGAGCTGCAAACAAAGGGAGATTACGTGTCAACAGGAGAAAGACAAGGCCACAATAAATGCAAAGACTTGGTTTGATTGAAAAAAATTCTGATGACTTGATCAGTGCCATTAATCTTGCTGATTTCTAACAAAATTTTTTATAAGGATAATTCAAATATGGACCGTAATTTGAATTCAAAATCTGAGTTAATTAAGGATAAGGCAGAGGAGATGGATCATGAAGGGTTTTGTTAAGGAAGAAAGGTGGGCTGAGATAAAGAAACAAATGGGCTGGAAACAAATGTTTTTACTAATGGGCTTGGTAAGGTGGGCCGTTTTAATTTAAGAGGGTTTTACAGAATTGTAGAGGCCTGATCCACAAACATTTGTTTGTTGGGGAGAGCTCGAATGATAGGGCTTTCTCACACAGGCAAAAGGGGGTCTCTCCATAGACAAAACAAAGGCTCTCCTCAAAGTTGAAAACTGATGGTTAAGGTCATTGAAGCTAATCGTCGAGCAAAGGGGGGATTGGAGCTTCTGATAGGATCTCCTTAGCCAAGGCAGAGTTGACAATGGGCAAAGGAAGTAGTGAAAAAGGGGCTATAGTTGGAGAGGAGATCTGCGATGGTTGGCAAAGCTAGTGGGAAGATTTTGAGGTCCGTTTCGACATTATGGATGGACAGAGACACATACATTTGATTTCAAAAGATGAAGAAGTTTGCTGCAAGAACTTCTAAAGATATA